CATTTAGGTACCAATCATTTAGTATTTCAGTGTAAATATGCTATATCACGCAAAAACTATATGAGGTTATCACGAGAATCCCGCAATGCACGCGTAAAGGCAGTACAGTTATCAACTGAGGCGCATGCGTTACCATACTGTCCGATCTATTAGTATTCAGTGATCCTCTCTCCACCATGTTCTGATAGCTGAAATAAACAAGGTAAAGAATTGTGAATGCGACGCAAATTTTCCAAGCATGACATTCGAACGCGTCTGTAATATATGTGTTTACCTGAATATCAGCATAATTAAATTGGGGACGCATTGCTAGCCTGTATTCATAACCTTTGTCACGCCTAGGTTATCAACGTAGTCAAATAACCTTAGTACACCGCCTGTTACAACAGACGTTAGTTTTCTCTCAAAAGTACTAGACAGAGGAGTATTACTAGAGCATAACAATCATTAGCGATAAAGCAAAACAACAGGACATCGTTAATAATAATGGAGCGGCCTACGTCTTACTCAATTTTCTCGCATTTCTTTTCGAGAAAACAGGTCCACAAACAAATAAAAAAATGAATGGCACTGTGGAGTCATATTAATATGAATGCCACTGTAGAGTCACATTGCAAGACTAATCCTACCCGCTTCCCACTTGAAGTATAAGTACGTGTACTCTTTTGCGACATAAAGTTCGACTCGTGATTATATGTCAAGGACATAAATCATAAATCACGTCATCTGTAACAATGTCAGATGTCTCGACATGTGTGTTTACCTTTCTGTCACGTTATCACAGTGATTACACTGTTATCATATAACATATGACCTTCCACGTTTTGTGAAATAGTACTGAAAGATAATGAATCACTGTATATTTAAGTTTAATGTATATTTTAAAAATACGTAATTGGAATTCAAGCGGTTCAATCAAAATAAGCTCATATTCGATGTTCGTGCGACTGCCATGTTTCCATATTCAATAATATGTGGGTGATATCCAAGTTACTACTTTAGATTGTTTTTATCTTGAGCGAAAAAAATGATAAACCACTGGAATGTTAACCACGGGGACTGTGCCATCGATGGGTAGTTCATCCAACTTTTTAGTGTGCAAGTATATCGGTATATTGAATTTAAATTATATAATGAATTGGTATATATAAAGGAAGAGAAGTTCTTGATGAGGACGGCCAGCGAATGGGTTTACCAGGAAACCGCTGATTTACTTGCCTGATACTGCACAACACCGAGTTAAATCTAATCATTTATTCTCGATTGGTCGTCACCCGCAGGTAACAGAATTAAACAACACACACATGTGCACGATAATACGACCGTCGTGAGTGAAAAGTGCAGCCATATGCCTTCGGAGGAAAGGCGTGGAAAGTATACCAGGTTACAATGACGTCTCTGGTCGTTGTTGAGACCATCTTGTAGCTAGAAATATATTTGCAGGGTCAACTAATACGTACAAAATGAACGAGCCATACGTAAAAATATTGGTATGAAACTTCAGTCCCGAACTATAGCAATGAAAGTCGGAAATTTAATTTTGTGAATTTATAGGTCCGACATCCGGGTGGAAAATTTTATTTTGCTACCTGTAACATTCCTTTCCATCAAAATAAATGTTTTCGTTTTCCTCAACTGATAATATACATTACATGATTTCAGCTTCTTTTCTGCAATGCATATTCCCAGGTCTCAGAATCAAGTTCTACACGTGTACATTATTATATACAAAAAATTGGCCATACATGACTACTTAACAAAGTACAATACAGAATGATAAACGAGATACGTGTGCCTCGAAATTTAATCTTTTCAATTATGCTATAATCTTCAGTTACTCCAATCCAAGTGTGTACAAATACATGCGCTCGCTTCTAACAAATACGTGATTATTTTCTGTAATATGCAACGTCAACTTTTACGTTGTGCATTGCCTAATACAAGTCATGGACAAGTTCCCAGTAGTAGATATCAATATTTTTGTAGGGGTCTCCATGAAAAATAAATGTGCAGCCAAAACATCCAACGAATATGATTTTTAACCAAAATATGTTGGTCCGTGTATCTGCAATTGTGGGTAACCGTCGCTTTTGTGTCAATGTTGCATTAGTGTTTAGTGTTTTTTGAATGAACTTTTAGTATACAGGTGTTAGAACGCACGTACATTATCAGCCATATGCCATGAGTTGTTTATTGGCATCACATTTTAAGAGGCACAGTCGGTTTTTTACAGTGATGCTGCAATACATTTTGTTGACGTGTTTAACTTGAAATGTTGTTTAAGCTACTTTATTACCATTAAATACAATGTGCCGGCTTAGTCTTTTCCACGAAACGAAATGAAACAAAATAAAACGAGACGAAACGAAACGAAACCCTAACCCTAACCCTAACCTTAGATTTTGAACGACCTCAAACATCGTCACGTCCGTATTTCACAGTGTGAAATTTTCTCAGATATTATTGGGCCAATGAAAAAAAATGCGAGTTAGGTTAGGGTTAGGGTTTGG